GTGCCGTTGATGATCCTTGGATCTAATGGTTCATCTTGACCTTCTTGCTCAACCTTGTGTCTGGTCTCGGTGCCGTTGATGATCCTTGGATCTAACAGTTCATCTTGACCTTCTTGCTCTACCTCGTGTCTGGTCTCGGTGCCGTTGACGACCCTTGGATCTAACGGTTCGTCTTGACCTTCTTGCTCTACTTGGTCTGTGTCACGCTTGTAGTTGCTCCGCTTCTTCTCCACCTGCTTCTGTATCCTCCCACATGGGAATATCACTGAACACAGAGGGAGGTGGTGAGGGGCCCTCCCATCTTGGTCCTCCTCCTGCCCACAGGCTACATTGCTACACTGTAGGATTCACTTGCTACACAGTAGGATTCAAAGGATAGATAATGTTTAGAACACCCAATATTAGCAGTGAACTCCCCCATTTTCAGTCAGTCAGTCAGTCAGTCAACAAACAGTGCCTCTTAATGGCAAGACATAGACCAAGGGAGCACAGACCAACATGTGTTCTTTCACACGTTGCTAGACTTCTCAGAGATTCACCATACCCCAGAGATGTTGGGGATAATCCCCAAGATACATGAGTAAGGTCTCCTGACAGACGCTGCTAAACTCCTAAAAGAGGTAAGAAAAATTATGGGGAGGAGGAGGTGAGCATTCTCAGAGAGTCCCAAGCAGCTCCAAGCTCTTCCCCAGAGAGAAGCACGCACCTTGGACAGCAGGGCCTGGGTGGTCTGCCCCTAATAGTCCTCAGATGCCAGGCTGGGGCCCTAGACTTCCCAGCAGAACACCTCTGCAGTGGACTGACAGCAGGGTAAGGGGACAGCAGAACAAAGCTCCAGAAGCCTGCCAGCCAACAGGGCTGCTGGACAGATAAGGACCACACTCTGCTCAGCCTGTGACAGCGCAGCACAGCCCCTCTGGGATGGCAGGCCCTCCTCTGCGCTTGGCACCACCCCCACCCCTGCAGGGTCACACAGAGTCCACAAAATCAGGTCCCAGAAACACCAGCTCCTCTGCCAGTCTGCTCCAAGTGGCTGGAAGCCAGGCACAAAGCCTCCAATGTGACCTCTCCAAACTCCCTAAGTACCAATCCGGGAGGCCCCACACAGCAGGGCTCTGTTAGTGACCATGACCTTCTGGTGGCCAGTGAGAAAGCCCATAGGCCCATGTGTCCACTGGCCATTTCTCTGCAACTTCCTGTGAATCTTCACTATTTCAAAATACCACGTTTTAAAAAAATGAGTTACAGAAGGGTTATAAAGTTGTAAAAAGTTCTCTGGAGTAATACAAAGAGGTGGTCAAGCATTGTGGTACATGCCTGTAATCCCAGCATTTGGGAGGCTGAGGCACGACTACCTTGAGTTCGAGGACAGCCTGAGCTACCTAGCAAGACTGCCTCAAGGGGAAAAAAGGTGGAAAGGAGAAGAGAGAAAACTGCAGGAAAGAGATATGAACTATAAGAGGTCTGGATAGACAGAACAACAACAACCAAAAAAAAAAAAAAAAAAAAAAAAAAGCAGAGAGAAGACTGCCAGATAATCTTAAAACTTTCCTAGAAGATACAATTTCCTCATTGAAAGAGTCCCCCAAGGGCATTTGACAGGGAGTGAAAAAAGCTACCCAAGGAAAATACCCTCAGATTTCGCTATTACAGTTGTGAAAACCCTGGCCTCGTAAACTATGCACAAATAAATTAGAAAAAATAGAAATGCATAGCTCGGAGGATCGTTTCAAGTTCGAGGTCAGCTTGGACTACAGAATGAGTTCAAGCTTGGCCTCAACTGCATAGCAAGACCCTGTCTAAAAAAAAAAAAAAAGCATAAGAAGGAAGACAGAATCAAGTTCTGTTCTCTCCTGGAAGTCTATGGGGTAAAGATCGAAAGAAGACGCAGGGCTAACAGGTGCTCTAAGGAAATTAAACCCTCCAGGACAGACGCAGGAAGGTGCTGGGTTTCTGCTAACAGAGGGGTCCTCAAGTAGCAGGACCTGGAGGAACGGAGGCGAGTAGGCTAGCGAGAGAAACGGCGCTCACCCGAGGGCTCGCACTGGAGGTGGTCGTCCGCCAGCTGGTAGCCCGGCGCGCAGCTACAGCGCCGTGATTCCCCCTCGGCCAGGCAGTAGTGCGCGCAGCCACCGTTGTCCACTGAGCAGTTGCTGAAGCCCACTTCTGCAGGGTTGCGAGTCAGCCCGCGGCCAGGGAGGACCAGGCCCCGCCCCCAGGCCGCAGGCCCCGCCCCCAGGCCACAGGCCCCGCCCCCAGGCCACAGGCCCCGCCCCTCACCGTTCTGGCAGAAGCGGCCCTCCCAGCCCGGGTTGCAGGTGCAGGTGAAGCTGCCCAGACCGTCGACGCACGTGCCGTGCTCGCAGCAGAGGCTGGCGCATGGGTGCTCTGGCGGTAGGCTTTTGCACTGATCACCGTCTGGGACACACGGCGGATGAGAAGCGGAGATCAGCGCTCTCACCAGCCCCCTTGATGACCCGCAGCATCTAGAGACCCGAGGGAAGCCCTGGCAGGTGTAGAAGGCACTCACCAAAGTACGAGGACCAGAAGGCCAGCTGCGGACAGACGAGTGGCGTCAGCGCCAGCCTGTGTGGACAGGCGCCTCCCTCTGCCTGGCTGACCCAGGGCGCGCCGCAGTGGGCCCAGCCAAACAGAGGTCACTGGTGGATGTCCCCAGCTCCTAGCAGCTAGTGCCCCTTGCTCCACTCCCTGCCCCACCTCCATTCCACAGACCATGAGCAACACCCCTCCTCGTCTTTGGCATCCTACAGCCGCACCCGGCTCGCAGGACCCTCTCCTCCTGCAGGGACTTGTGCAGCGGCAGGCAGGGACCCCATCCTCACCAGGCTGCTCTGCCTCCTAGCAGCCCCCTCACTCCTTTCCCACTTTTAGGACCCACTCGTACATCTAGTCTTTCCCTAAGCCAGTGCTGCCAACTCAGAAGGTCTGGGTGGCCAGAGTCTTTTTTCTAATTAGGTCACAGCTGCCACTACCTCTGCTGGCTTTAACCTTTAGGCTAGAGAGCACTCAGGCCCCACCTGGACACCTAAAGTTGCTCCTCTGGGAATAGAAGCTGAGGCTCAGCCTAAGTAGAAGAGTGGGCTGGCCTCAGGGCCTCTCGGTCACTCCGCCCTGGCCATCACAGAAGGGGAACAGTGGAAATGGCATGTGGCCTGTGATGAGCAGGTGGCAGTGGCTGCTGGTGGCCAGATTGACCTCCCTGTCAAAGGGACTGCCAGGAATCTCAGCCTAGAGTTACCACAAACTCTTCTTCCTGGCACTCACTGCGAAAGTCTGCTTCTTGTGCCCTGACCAAAACCGTAAGACCAGTGTCTCCTCCGCCACCCCAGCAAGCTGGGAGGAAGAGGTGCTGCTTCTGAGAGCCCCCAGGACACCCAAGAGCGCCTCCGCAGTTGGCCTCCACCTGCTCATCTAGGCCCCGGCCACCTCACCCCTCACGGGAGCCTCACTGTCTAGGCCCAGCTGGTGGCCTTACTGTGGCATCCACATTATGGAAGATTTCCTTGGCTTCCTCGAAGTCGCAGATCTCCTCGTAGCATTCACGCTCCAGGTTGCCAGGCCGGACCTCCTCCAAGAAGGCGTTGGCACGTTTGCGGATCCGCAGCACCTGGTGGGCACGCTGGCTGCTGGAGAACACCGCGTCTGGATTTGGGGAGGGGAGCTCGCAGTGGTGGACCACAGGAGTCTCGGGAGGCCAGGGGGGAGCAGCGGAAGAGGCATTGTCTAGGGCCCCGGGGGGCTCAGTCTAATTCCTCATAATGCTGCCCTCCGTCCCTCCACAGGAAGCAGATGATTGTAGGACAGAGACAGGCGCTGGGAGTCCCAATCTATGTGACCTTGAGTCTGTGTTTCTGTCTCTCTAAACCTCAGTTAACATTTGGAAAACAGAGGCATGCTTACCACGTAAAACAAGACAGTACATGGTGTGGAAATAAGTACTCAGTGACAAATGCCACCTGCTGCTGCTGCTCCCGAGTCTTCAAAGTTCACTCAGTGTGTTGTTCTCCAGCCAGACAGACCCTCTTTCCCCTCCCTCCACAGAGTGACTCTCATCCCCTCCCCTTGGCCAGAAACACCTAGAAATCAGGGACCCATCACCCAGCGTGTATTACCGCGTGTCCCCTGGGCTCTGGCTTGTGTCTGTCTTGGCAAGAGGATGCCATGAGGGAGGGGCCAAGGCAGGGTAGTTAGCAGGAGGAATTGTGCCTGAGCTGAGGTGGCCAGATGAGGTCGCCCGGAGTTGTGGCAAGACAGGGGGGAGTGGGAAAAGGCCTCCGATAAGCAGCTCAGGAAGGGCACACATGTAGACTGTGCGTCCCTTGGTCCTCCCAGAGAAGCATGGCCGCCTCTGTTGGCTGTGGGTTCCAATGGACATTTTAGGCGAGACACACAGAGTGGGGTGGGTGAAGGCCTGAAATGGAGCCTTTACTGCCAAGGGAGTAAGTGGTGCTGAGGGACGGCCCAGGGGACTCTGTGACCCACCACAAGCCTGCCATCCGCTGGGTCTGCCTGCACAGCCGTCGGGTTGCATGACTGGGCCTTGCCCAGCAGTTCGCACTGCCTCTGCCTCCCCTCATCTCACCGAAGCGCAAAGGCAGGGGAAGGTGTGAAGGCCAAGGCTTCCAGAGTCCTGAAAATGCCTTGGCACTTGAGGGTCCCCTGGGGAGGCTGCAGCGTACGGGAGGGTAGCCTTACCAGGAGGAACTGGTTTGCTGGAAACGCCCCAGGTGGCCAGGAAGAGCAGCAAGCCTGCCAGCTGCCACATTCTGCCGTCGCTGACGCCTGTCTGAAGAGGACACCTGAGATTCTGGCAGCCCCCGGCCTGTACTACTCTGCTGGAAGCCTCAGGGAAGAAGCTGAATGCAGGGGGCCTGTGTGCCCCTGGTCGGGACACATGGCACTTAGGCCTGAGGAGTGCCAACCCACACTCAGGCCTGCAGCTAGGGGCCTTGCTTCGTTGACCCCGCGCTCTGTGAAGAGTCCACCCCCATGGAGTGTGCCCTTCTTGCCCTTTATGCCCTCCCTCCATACCCCTGCATCTTGCCTCAAGGGGACTTACAGGGGTGGGCCCTGGCGAGGCTGCAAGACTGCCTTCCTGCCGCCATGATGGCCTGGAACTCGGTTAATCCATAACCAGTAGAAGGCCACCCTCTCCAAAAGCAAACAAGTGGTGCTGGCACTCTGGGCCCAACCCCTGAGACCCAGGTCATCCGAGCTCACTTCTGGCTGAAAGGGTGCTGTCCACGGTGGGGGGCGGGGCGGGGCTGGCACCCGGAAAGCCCTTGACTGCTGTGGTCTCTTCAGCTCAGAGTGGCTGGCTAAGGGAGGGATGCTTTAATGCAGAACACTGCAGTTTATCTATAACCAACACAACAAATTTATAATTTCATCAAATTTGGGGGGGAGGTTATTTTTTATTTATTTATTTATTTTTAATTTAATTTTTTTTTTTTTTTTTCGGAACCGGGGATTGAACTCAGACCCTTGCGCTTGCCAGGGAAGTACTTATTCTACTGAGCCATCTTCCCAGCCCTTTTTTATTTTTTAAAGAAGTACAAAATAGGGCCAGGAGATGGCTCAGTGGAATAAGCGCTTTCCTGGCAAGCATAAGGGCCTGAGTTCAATCCCCAGTTCGCAAAAAAACAAAAAAACAACAACAAAAAAAGAAGTACAAAATAGTATTAAAACAAAAAATTACAAGTGATATAGAATTTCACTTAACAAGCCAATATGAGTTTCACAGTATTTATTGTAATGCAGTGTCATCTTCCAACCAGTTATTCATATTAACAGACATATGCATGCAAAATTGGAAGAGAAAAAGAAAGAAATGTGTAAAAAGTTGGGAAAATTTAGGGTTTCTTTGCTCCTATAAAGGAAAAGACAGTCTATGATGCCATTCTAATTTTTTTCCTCTCTTGTTTCTCCCTGTGGCAGGGATGAAATCTGGGGAATAGTGGGCTACATCCCAGCTCTTTTTTCTCCTCCCCTCCCTACCCCTTCCTCTTTTTTTTTTAGTTTTAGGGAAGGGTCTACAGGGTGTTCAGGGTCTCACTACTAGATCAGACTCATAGTGATCCACCTGTTTACAGCCTCCCAAGAGCTGGGATTAGAGGCGCATACCACCACGGCCCAGGGATCGAACCCCCAGCCCCTATGCCCGCTTGCAGGTGCCTTAGGCCGCTGAGCTATTTGGCTGGCCCTTTCCACCTCCTTTTGATATAGGGCAAAGAAACTCCCAACCTGAAAGGTACGTGTGATATAGGGAGAAAAACTGATCTCGGGTGGGTGACTTCCAAATGATACAGGGAACCTCTAAATGACATAGGGGAAAATGACCTCTCGACATGACCTGGACAAATTTGAGTTCTCTAAAACCAAAGAATGAATTTTAGGAACAAACAGAGGTTATGAGCAGAATATATTTATTGAGGGAAAGAAAACTCCTATCCAAGAGAGGGACAGGAGGGGGGCCGGGCTGATAGTTCCCCGGGAGGCTGTCTCTTCTAGGGACTTTTATAGTGTAGAAAATGGGAACTCGCTTAGGTGAATGTGGGGTGGGACAAAACTATAGTCAACCAATGGGATTACAAGCATCATTGTTCAGGTAAAATTGATTAGGCCCAGGATCAAATGGAGTCACGTAGTAAGCGGGCATGAATGTAAAACAGGACCTTATCTGGTGGCCTTCAGACGATGATTTTTTTTTTTTTTTTTTTTGTAATGAGCAATCCCGGATGCCAACCTTTAGGTCTGGTTTACAGCAGGAGCATCTCTCACAGTTGTAAGGTCTGGTCTTTGTCATCTCCTTTGAGGGCCTGACCCTGTCTGACTGTCAATATTTTTATCTAACTCAGGCTGCCTGTAACACCTGGGCTGAGTTTGTTCTCTAAAGCTGAAGAATGAATTTTAGGAACAACAGAGGTTGATTGCAGAATATATTTACTGGAGGAAAGAAAGCTTCTGTTCGAGAGAAAGACAGAAGGGGGACCCCAGCAGGTTATCACTGGGAAGCTGTCTCTTCCAGGCATGTTTATAGAGTAAAACCATGCAGTGAGGTGGGTCTGAGGTGGAGAACATGAGAACTTGCTTAGGTGGGCATGAGGTGGGGCAAAACTGGTCAACCAATGAAATTACAAGCCCCACTGCTCAGGTAAAATTGATCAAATCAGAATCAAATGGGGAAGTGAGTCACCTACCAAGTGGGCATGAATACCGGGCAGGGTCTCTCCCTGTTGGAGGTTGGGCTAGTGACTCTTTAGGGTTCTTTCACGGTAACTGATACCTATTTAGAATATCAGTCCCTGATGCCCATCCCTAGGGACGTATGTGGCTGCATTTGCTTCCTCTTTTGTCTGCCCCCCACCCCCCAACTGGGGATTGAACTCAGGCCCTTGCACTTGCCAAGCAAGAGCTGATTCTACTGAGCCATCTCTCCGGCCCCTTCCTCTCTCGTCTTGAGGTCTGGCCCACAGCGGATGTCTGTCTCTTCCAAAGTTACAAAGTCACCTTGTCTTCCATCTTGTCTCCTTGAGGGCCTGGCCCTGTCTGACTGCCTGTGCTGTCTCTGATAGGTTTTGAGGTGTCGCAGCAAGAAACAGCCAGAAGGAAAAAGAGAAAGGGGCTTGATTACAAAGGGAAAGAGGCTTCATTATGTTGGAGGACACGGAGAAATTTGGGGAGATAAGGAATTCTCTGGATTGGAACAAAGGGAGACTGAGGCTTTCATGGCCTGTTGCCAGGGCTGGGGCTTGAGGGGGAAGTTTAGATATCCCTGAGGAGCTGACTGGGGCTCCCCTGAGGCGGCGGGAAAGGCGAAGGAAATGAGTTGGGGAAGAAGGGGGAGGTGGAGGTGGTCTCTGGGAGATGAGCTGTTGTTTTAAGGGCTTCCGCCTATTGGATGACCCCCATAATAATTCAGCAATTCATACCAGCGCCATAACCTATCAACTTCTCTCTAGTTTAGCTGCCTACAACACTTTCTTTCAACAGGATCTGACTAAGCTGCCCAAGCTGGCCTCGAACTTCAGATCTCCTGCGCCAGGCAGGCTGGGATGGCAGGCATTGCTACCATACCATCTTTACGGATGACAACTGCCTGTGCAATACCGGCCTTGTTATCGGGCTTTGGGGTGCTGGACCCTCCCTCTGGAGGTGGGTTCTAGCTTCTTTCTGTCCTGAGCAAACAACTGATGGAGAAGTGCAAGAGCAGATGAGGTTTTACTGTGGCTGAGGAAGCGTGCTCTGCCGAGCGCGTTTGGTCCAGCACAAGCAGGGTCAAGTACACAAGCCATTTTGTGAACACAGAGGGGAAACACTGCGAGGGCTGCGGGGAGCTCCTAGCCGTGACGTCAGAGAGGGGAGCCCTGGGGTGCCCCGGAGTCAGCGGCCTTCACTAAGCACCTTCTTCCCTAAAGGCCCACACTTCTCCCTGGCCCGCCTCCTCCCCAGGACTCGACCCTGTGGCCCCGCGGACGCTGTGCCGCAAAGGGCCGTGTGCCCACGCTGCTGGCTGCTGGCGATGGCTCCAGGAAGTCACCAGACTGGGAGTCCCAGCCTGTCCCAGGCTCATGCCCTCTCTCTGCTGTGCCAACCGGCCTCAGAGGAGTGTGAAGCCAGGGCCCGTCCCCCTGTGCCTGGGGAGGGGTGGGAGGTGGCGCAGAAGTCAGTTCGGGGACAGGCCTGGGGCTAAGGAGGCCGAGGGCGAGGCGGGGTGCACGCGCGGCGGGGAGCGAGGGGGCCGAGACCTGCCTGCGGGCCGCGCGAGTCCAGCGGGCCTCTAGGGAGCGGCGGCCCACCCGCAGTCTAACCCCGCCCCGCCCCGCCCCGTCCCGCCCAGCGGACACTCCGGCTGTAGTTGGGGGCTGCGTTGTAGGGATCCCCCGCAGGGCACGCCCCAGCCTCGCCACCCTCACGTTTCTGGGCGCTGGCGCTCAGCACCCGCGTGGCGGAGTCGGCCAGAGCCCGGCGTCGGCAGCAGCCGGAGTCCAGAGCGCGGGCGTCCACCCCCGCCAGGACGGCTGCAGCGACCCCTGGGGGCCAGAGCGCCCGCCGCGCCGCCCCGGCTCCCTCGCCAGGGCCCAGGCACGCCGCGCTGCCCGAGCGTGGGCGCGGGAGGCGTGCGCGGCGGAGCCTGGGGCTGTAGTGGGGCTGCGCAAACAAGCCGGGCTCGGCTAGAGGGTAGTCCCAGCAGCCCCATCTTTTGCACTTCCCAGAGCCTCAGTGTGCACATCTGTAAAAACTGTTCGTGAACAGCGTCCTCCTTAGCTGGCCGTCGTGACGATCAGAACAAGGTTTTGATGAAACGTTTTATACAAAGTGGTGAGAGCCTGGGACCTCGGGGATCCAACAGTGACTCTCCCTCGGCGTCCAGGTCTCCCAGAGCAGCAGTGCCGCAGGATTCCCGCAGGGACGCACCGCTCTGCGGACCTGGTGAGCGGCGGGGAGCGTCTGGGACGCGCGGCGGGACCGGGAGGCGGAAGGGCGCACGGGACGGGGG